CCGAATGAGCAAATAAAGGAAATTGTCAAAAATACTCTTCCTCAAACACACTATGACATCAAAGGTTGCACAATACTTACATTCAAAGAAGACTTAACATTACTGAAGGAAAAAATAACAGAATATTTCGATAACTTCAAAGAGGAAGAATGAAGTCACGACAACATTAACGAAGAAGTCACGACAACATTAACGAAGAAGTCACGACAGAAGTCACGACAACATTAACGAGAGAGAATGAGGTGAAAAAGAGGTGAAAAAACGGGTGAGATCTCACCTCTTCACCAAAAATATATTTTTGATTAAATAGCTTCAGGGTCTATTTCTTCAACCATTTCACTTCCTTCGTCAATGTCAATAGAAGCTTCTTCAACCTTTGGTAAGAATTTCTGTATAACATCTTTGTTCGTTATTGTCTTCAGAGATGAAGGATAATATTTCACATATGTTTCACCCTTCTTATATTCTTTCTGTTCGGAAAGATTTAAAACAATACTGAAGAAGTCAATATTAGAGTTCTTTATAACAGTATAATGAGTATCTTTGACATTCACGAAGAAACTCTTTTGTTTCAAAACTACTGCTAACTCTTGTGAAGTATAACGTTTGCGGTCAATGACGATAGCTAATGGTCTGACATACTGACCAAACTTAGATTCTTTCACAAACTTCTTGTTAAAGATAACATTAACATTTGAAGCATTATTGAACTCATTCTTGATGGCAGTAGCGAGAGCATTGTATGAAAAGAACTTGCAATCTTGCATGTGTTTCATTAAAATAAAAATATTAAATTATTTTGAAAATAACTTTAAAAAAATCTAATCTAATTTTTTCAAAAAATATTTTTTTTATTTCCTACTAAAAATGTATCGGAAGTTGTCTAAGTTAGAACACTCGGAAATAAAACAACTTCTTACAGAAGCTAACATAGATGTTGCAAAACATTACGCAACAAACAAAAAAGCACTCGCTGACTTCATTAAAGACTACAATGGTGCAATAAGTTATGATAGAATTCATGAGTTCATAAAGCCGCAACGCGGCGAGGACGAAGTCCATGCAAGAGCATTTCCTTTAAATGACGTTGCTATTGACTTATATCATAGACGTTCAGTACCTCATGAAGTAAGAAGAGAAATGTTTGACATAACAAATGCAAACGTTGGTGAAACAAGAAGAAGAGACGACACACTGAAACAACAGAGAAGAGAGATGTTTAAAGTGCTATAGAACAAGTTCGCAAAGCTAACGATGTCATTCGTTCCATTGACGACAAACCAAAAGAAGGTGAGAGATGGTTAAAGAAAGATGAAGAGAATAGGAAGAGAAATGTGAAGTCAGGCAATAGACTCATTGACTTTAACATCGAAGCTTTAGATGAACCAAACAGAGACTACTTACACAAACATTTCGGTAAGGTTTTCATGAGACTCTTAGAGAAAATTAAAATAAACTCACAACAGAGATGGATGGTATGTTATAAACTTGGTGGAAAGTATGAATGTTCTACGTTAAACCTCAATAATATTGGAACATTACTACATCAGCTCTTGAAGGAGAACTTTATATCAGAGATAGAAGCAAATGCTGCAGGTATTGTTGAAATGCACTATGACTTCTTCTTGACAAACATAAAGAATCTTACTGAAATAAAGATGTATGATTTAACAGAATATGAAGGCTTAACGATGTCAGATGTAAAGAAAGGCAAACCAAAAAAGAGACCATATAGAGATGAAAGCACACTGACAAATGACCAGAAAGCCATTTTGGAAGCTCTTAAGCAAACAGGAAACCCAGCACTTATAGAAAGCTTTTGGAAAGATAATGGTGAAAAGAAGTTTTATAAGAAGAGAAGCGGTCAGTTCTGGAAGTATCTTTGCACATTACCTATAAATCTTGAACGCTACCAAATCTTCAATGAACTGAACAAAAGAACTGCAACACTTATGACAGAAGACAATTGTTCGTTTATGCTTGCATTCAGGCTGGAGTAGATGGAGAGACTATTGACCACATGAGAGAAGTCATTCGTGTTAGAGACTTTCCTCAAAGTAAAGTACAAGAAATTTCTGACGCAACAGGTATAGCATTTAATGTTACCATTGGTTATTTCAATGACTCAAGACATAATGAAATAAAGAGATACATACCAAAAGAATGTGAAACTGTTCGAACTATTGACTTACTTCTTGTTGAAGACCACTACATGCTAAATGAAAGATTACCAATGACAACATATTTCATTCGCAACTATATAGAAATTCTCAAGCTGTGGTGGAATGAACATTGAGAAACAATGAAGATTTATACAAAGAGAGAAGATAAATATGTAGTTCGTTATGATAGAACAACACCGTTATGGGATGTTATGAAAACATTGTGGGAGTGCAAATATTTCGAACCTATTTCTTATGGAGAACTTTTCACATATACTACTGACTTATATAAACAGAACCTTGCACCATTTAAAGATTTGACATATGCTCCAAAGTATTGTGTACAACTGAAGAAGAAAGCCGAGTCAAAAGAAGTAAATAAAAATAAGTGCAAGTTCATTCCTGAGCACGTTTTCTTTGCTGACTTTGAGTGCAGTACCGATGGCTTTCATAAAGCTTTTAACATATGTTACGACAGTGAAGATGGTTCAGTGAGTGAAAGCATTTGGGGTCAGAACTGTGCAACAGAATTTTTGGAACGACTTCCTGACAAGAGTTTAATATATTTCCATAACCTCAGTTATGATATAAACTTCATCTTAAGACACATGACAGAAGTGAAAGGAACTCCCATCATTAAAGGTTCACGAACAATGCAAATAACTGGCTTATATAAAGGAAGGGCAATTATTATAAAAGACTCTTACAGTGTTATAAATAAGAAGCTTAAACTATTTCCTGCTATGTTTAACTTACAAACAGGACCGAAAGAAGTATTTCCATATAACTACTACAGCAGTGTTTTGTTAGCAAATGACAACAGAACTGGTGTCATTTCTGAAGCATGTAAGTTTATCCGGATGCAGATACATTCATGAAAAACATAGATTCCATCAAAGGTTGCAGAATAGATGAAACCACTTCGACTTAGAAAAGTATAGCACATTTTATTGCAAACAAGATGTAAGAATTTTAAGAGAAGGTTTTGTTAAGTTCCGCAATGACATATTGAAAGAATTTGATTTAAACGTTTATGACTACGTTAGTATTTGTTCAATTGCTAACAAATTGTTGAGAACAGAGTGTACTTCCCGAATGGAAATTTATATGACCTCTCAAATAAACCAAGAGAATTTATTTCACGCTGTATTCAAGGTGGAAGATGTATGCTGTCAGATAACATTAAACAAAAGAGCGAAAAGAAACTCATTGCTGACTTTCGACGCTGTTTCATTATATCCATCAGCTATAGCAAGACTTTATACTTTAGAAGGTATTCCAAAGGTTATGAAGAAAGAAATGTTAAGCACAGAGTATCTCATGAGACATTTATTCGATGACGACCAAAAGGAACCCATTGGTGAAAAGTTTATGTCTGGCTTCTTTGTTCTCATTAAGATAACAGAGATTGGAATACATAGACACTTTCCTTTAATAGTTTGTGACCCTGAACTAAATCCAGAACTTAACGTTCCCAGAAGTTCAAACACTTGCTGTTTAATGTATGTTGACCATATAACATTACAAGACCTCATAAAATATCAAGGTGTCAAATGTGAAGTGTTGCAAGGATACTATTACGATGGAAACAGAGATATTAGAATAAGAGATGAAGTAAAGAAGTTGTTTGAGTTAAGGTTAAAGTATAAGAAAGAAGGAAATCCTTTGCAAGAAAATATAAAGCTCATTCTGAACAGTATTTATGGCAAAACTATTCTATCTCCTATTGAGTCAAAAATAACCATAGTAAATGACAAAGATGCTATAAGATATGCCATCAGAAACTACAACCATATAGTGAAGTTCGAAGGTTTGGATGGTTCAGATAAAACTATTTTCAAGCTAACGAAAAGCATTTGCAGACACTTTAACTTCTGTCCACTTGGTGTTAACATTCTGTCTATGTCGAAGAGAATAATGTGTGAAGTATTCTGTACTGCTGAGGACTTAGGAATGGACATCTTTTATAGCGATACGGACAGTATGCATCTCTACAATGAAGATATCCCTCGTTTAGCTGAAGAGTTTGAGAAACGTTATGGAAGAGTTCTCATTGGTAAAAACCTTGGTCAATTTCATAGCGACTTTGCAGAAATCACAAAAGATAAACAAAGTTTAGCATACAAGTCAATATTTTGTGGAAAGAAGACTTACATAGACTTACTCACGAATGATTTAAATGAAGTTGCATTTCACTGCAGAATGAAAGGCGTGAAGCAAGATGTTATTGCTTTAACCGCTAATGAAATGTTTCCTGACTCTGTTCAGTGTTTCTATGATGAAGATAAAGGTTTAATGGTTCCGCAAGGAAAATTTGACAAAGACTCTGAGTTCAGTGTTATGAAGTTATATAAAGCACTTTATGACGGTCAAGAGATTGCATTCGACTTATGTAAGTCGTGTCAACCTTGCTTTGCTGAAAAGTTTAACTTTTCTATTCAGACTAAGACTTCATTCATAAGAAAGCTTAAGTTCTGAGGTCATGAATGAGAAAAATAATGAGGTCATTTATTTTTGTCAGCAGTGAGACCATTCATGATAAAAATAAGCCGCTAGCGGCAAGGGCGAAGCCCATGTGGTCATTTACAATACTGCGATGGTAGAGTTTAAGAGTTGTGCTTCAATGTAGAGACAGTCCTTATGGTCTGGAGGTAAGAACACTGGGCAGTTATGGTCATGAGTGGAGAACATGTCTATCCAAAACTCACGATTGAAGCCAGTTAATTTATAGTATTTAGGGTTAGGAAGTGGTGAAGTTCTTGTATGACCAATGAACTCATTTTCAACTCCCTTACTTAAGTTTGAATATAATATAGCTTGCTTTCTATCCCAAATGCCAGGTGTTACAATCTTTGAAAATTCATTTTTCCTCGGAAGCATTGCATCATAATTGAAAACATTCTTGAAATCATCACTTGGTTCAGAGATTTGAAATCTTATACGTAATGGATTTTCTTTCTCTTTAGCGACTTCATTGAATGGTGAGAATACAACAAACTGACAGTCATGTGTTCCATCTTCATTTTCATTAAATTCATAATGAAAGTCTATAAGTTGTGGCTGACTACCTTCTTCTTTCAGTTGTGCAAGAAACTCACGTAAAGGCTGTAAAGTTTGTACTTCAATGTTGAACTTTTTCTCGAACATCTCATTAAATGAAATCATACATTGTTGCAATGTTGTATCGTCTTTAAAGTATTTGTATATGTGAATGTTTTGGGCGCTTAAAGACTGTTCGTCATTTTCTATCTCGACTTGAAGTATAAAGTCAACCTTTCTGAAAGCACGTGTTATATACATAGATGTTATGCCAATGTACTTCTCTTCATTTATGTTCACAATCCAGTCTGTTGGAAACTTAAACGTTACTCTGTTCCCCTTTATTTTGACGTCAGGGTTTTCACTACTGAACGCAACAGATAAAGGTATTTGTCTATACATTTAATTCGGATAAAAATAAACCATTTACTCTTTCTTTGCTTCAGCTTCTTTAGCTTTTGCTTCAGCTTCTTCTCTAGCTTTTTCGCCAGCAGTGGGTTCTTTTGTCTTCCAGCAGCTAATGCAGCAAGTTGTTTTTCACTAAGTTTTCTCTTTGGTCTCTCTGGCTTTTGTTCTTGTTTTTGTTCCTTCAGTTCGGATAAAATTTGCTCACGAATTTCTTTCTTCAATGCTTCAACATCTATGACCCCTTGGGTCTTGTCCGTAGGGCTTGTCTGAGTCATTTGACTGCAGATAAAAAACAAAATTAAAACTTTAACCGATGTAAAATGAGCTTGTCAAAATCAGAGCGAGAGTCTATTATATTAAATGACGCAAGAGGAATACAACATCCTTTCTATTACGTAAGTCAGAGTAAAGATGGTAAAATATACGTAAGAAAAAGAAAGGTTCCATTAGCGAATGCAGAAAGCGACAACATTAAGGTGTATGGCAAGGGTGAAGTCCACGAAGCCCATATAAAACCTTCTATTCAAACTGAAAAGTCAATAGAACCAGAAGAAAAGAAGCCAGATGTACTTTCAATAACGAACCAAGAGCTTATTGCAAAGTTCGTGAATTTCATTGAAAAACAAACCGAGTCAAAGAACCTGACCCGCCAGTGAAAGAAGTTGAGACAAAAGAGAATGTACAGTTCATTGAAAATGTCAAGAAACAACTTCCACCACGAATGCCAAGAAGAAGAGTGAGAATAATGAAGTAAATAGATATTTTTATCTGAAGTAAATACATGCAGAACGAACAGTAAACGAATTTACTCCAGCAGAGCATATTCATCAGATTCGCTCATATTTCGATATCATAGACAATGCAGTTCAAATTGGTGACACTAATAGAAAATATTCTGACGCAAAGATTCCATCACAACCTGGAACTGCTAAAGATAACACATGGGTAACATTCAATCTCTCACCTCCTGGTGAAAATATGTTGGACCTTTACAATACATTCATTACGTATAAAATGGAAGGTCAATTTATTGTAGATAAAGAAATTGGTTCAGGTTCCAATAAAACAAACCCACCAGGATTTTGGATTGGTTTCGATGACGCTTTCTATGCAGTTGCTGGATATCAAATCCTTGCAAATGGTCGTATCGTATATTCTCAAGACAACGCAAGAGAAGAAGCATATATAACTTCAAACTCACAAACTACCGAACAAATAAAGAAAGTAGATGTTTTCTCAAAGACTCGACATGAAGATGTATGGAGTCATTCGGGAACATGCAGAACAGGACAAATTGTTAGTGGTCCAATTACAGCAGGAAAATCATTTGATTTTAAGCTTCGTTTAAGAATTCCTGTTAGAAGATTCCTTCCATTAGAAGCTATTCGATTTATTCCAGCTTTTGCAGGAAACATTCAGCTTAAAGTAAAGTTCAGTAGCGACGCCTTACAATGCACATCTATATCTGTAAATGATATCATTGCTTTCAATCCAACTCTTAAAGTTGCATTTGCTTCAGATTCAAATCCACCGACAAATAAATTTGTTCCATGGAATGAACCATTCACTATGATAACGAAGGCAGTAGAAGCTAGTGGAACAGTTACTATTACAACTGTAACCCAGCAACTATTTCGAACAAAGATGGATTTTAATGAATGTTTCATTCATCCAAAGTCATTCTCTTTAGACCCTAACATTTATACAGAACTTGTAGAACATTATACAAACGAGGCTTTATGTTTTCCTGTTAAAGTTATGGATTGGATTCCTATGGACGGTTCATTCTCAAAGAATACAGATAGTTCAAGTGCAACATTTACAGCAGCTTATACGCCTATTAATGTTAAAAGTATTTGGGCACTATTTAGAAAGAAAGACAACTATTATGTTAATTTTGAGAACCCTAAGTTTAAATATCTTCAGCTTTCCATGGGAGCTTATGGAAATATGCCTGCAGAACCTGAAAAATCATATGGACCTGTATTTTATGAAATGGTTGCGAACGCCTGCAATACAAACAATGATATGATAGGATTTAATGAAGATGTTATGAGGTCATTGGTGGATGATGGTAGTGTGGAACATAAATGGGATAGCTATGACAACACACATTTCTTATGTGGTTTTCCAACAGAAGTGGACTTTTGCTTCCAGCAAGGTCAAACATCTACTGCTCCAATAACATACAAATTGTCTGTTAAAGGACCTATTGAACTAGCAACTGAAAATGTACCAAAGCCACTTATTGGATTTATGAGGGATTGTTGCTTTGCCATTCAGGTGCGTCAGGCATCCCCATAATAAGATTAGATGACTATAACTTAGCTACGGACGACAGTGAGGAATAAAGGATGAACGTTTATTTTTAAAGCTTATAAATGAGTTCTTCATCAAGCTCTCGTGAACCTTCACCATCTATGAAACAAACTTTACCAAACGATTATGGAGCACCTATTGAATATTTCTTACGAGCTGCACAATGGCAAAGAGCAGTCTCACCAAGGTTAGGTGTTCCACCAGCTCCTGTCAAAAATAGCATTTGGTCAAGTCCTTATATAAGATATGGTCTCCCACTAGGTTTGCTAGCTACAGCAGGAGCAGTTATGATGTTGAAAAGAAATAAAGCAAATGTTGTAAATAATACTGAAGTAGCTGAAGTTAAACAAACTCCAACCCTTCGCCAAAACCACGCCTTCACAAGCAAAACCTTCAATGACTCCTGAACCTATGGAAGTACAAACTCCTGTTCAAAAGTCAACTCCTAAACCGACTCCAACATTTAAACCAGAACCTACTCCTCAAATAAATCGTAAAACTCCTGCGTTTCCTTACTGAAAAAATAACGTTATTTTTATTTAATATTAAAATTTTTATTTGATTGAAATGACAAATAAAGTCACTGAAGCAATGAAACAAAAGTTTTTGGTAGAATACATTAAATCAGGAACTATTCCAGAAGGTTTTTACATTCATACTATGAAGGATGGTAGAGTTCAGTTTAGAAAGATAAAGCAACCATTAGATAGAGAAGGAATTAGAAGATTAAACTTCATGAGGACAACATTGCTGAACTTAAGAAGAAGTTAGAAGAGTTGGAGAAAGGAAGAGAGTTATAAAGCAATGAATTCAACAGGGTGAAAAAACAGGTGAAAAAAGAGGTGAGATCTCACCACTTCACCTAAATTTATTTTTGCGCTATGTTTTCATACGTGTGGGGTGGTGATATCATTAATTTTTAAGTTTATTTTTTATTTTACTGAAAATTTTTATTTGGATGTAAATGACAGAACAAAAGCAACTCATTCGAATTCCACAGTATAACAAACATACATTTAAACATTTATTCTTCCTTCCTGAGCATAACATGTTCTTTCAAATACATCCGAGACCAGTTGACTTTTCATTGACTGTGTATAAAGATAGAAATAGTTATATCATTAAACCATACGATGACGAAGGTAAGTTATGTAAATTGTACGTTAAGAAGTTAGAGAAAGTTTATGGCTTCAAGTATGACTACAATAGGGTTAACACTGATGATGAAGATATTGAGGAAAATTTATGAGAACATTAGTGAAGTCGTTAGTGAGAACGATAGTGAGAACGTTTATTTTTTACATTAGTGAGTTCGTTAGTGAAGTGGTTGGCGGCTTTGTAAAGTGTCAAATTCACAAGTATTGGGTAAGGTGGAACGCAGTGCCGCCGTACCCATGACTTGTATACTAACTAATAAAAATAATATAATGAATTTATTTATTCGTATAATAGCAGTAATAAGTCGATTATTCACTTCTACTTCTGAGATTTGAATTTAATTTCGACAGAAAAAGAGATTCAAGAGGAAAATACTAGGGGATACAAACAGCCACCATGACAGGATTATTATGGAGCCAAGTTGTATTTTTGTTACATTCTTGATGAATGAGTATGATATAGAGATTGATTTAGATTATTGTGGAGAATATAATAATCTTGAAGCATTTTTAGTTTATTTCGACCAATCTAATGATGTTGACAAATGCTTTATTTATTCTCCGATGTTTAATATTCCATCTCTTTTCGAATTATTCATTTCGCTTGGTGCAGACATCAATGGAAAAGATAAAAATGGCATAACAGCTTTTCATCAGGTATCATTAAGAAATAATAAAAAGGCAGCCGAATTACTTCTTTCACATGGTGCAAATGTCAATGGAAAATGTTATGACAACAAAACAGCTCTTCATTTTGCAGCAATTAATAATTGTATAGAAATATCTGAACTTCTTCTTTCACATGGCGCAAATATCAATGAAAAAGATTTTGATGAAAAAACTCCTTTTGGTTATGCCATGATTTATAATTGTAAAGAAATAATTAAACTTCTTCTTTCACATGGTGCAAATCCCAATGAAATAATTAATGAGGAATGTACAGCTCTTTTCTATTCTTTGTTCAATGATGATAAAGAAATAACTGAACTTCTTCTTTCACATGGTGCAAATGCCAATGAAAAAATGAATGATGAAAATACAGCTCTTCATTTTGCCTCGATACGCGGAAATAAAGAAATAGTTGAACTTTTTCTTTTGCATGGGGCAAATATTAATGAAAAAAATTGCGATGAACTAACAGCTCTTCATCTTGCAACAAACTCTGAACACAAAAAAATTGTTGAACTTCTTCTCTCCCACGGTGCAAGTATCGATGAAAAAAAATATTAACGGGCAAACACCTCTCTTTTTTGCAGTTCATAACAAATCTATAGAAATAGTCGAACTTCTCCTTTCACATGGAGCCAACATTAATGCAAAAGATCTATTTGGAAACACACCCATTTTTCAAGCACTATATTTTAGTGAATTAGATATGATCGAGTTTCTTATTTCACACGGTGCAAATATTAATGAAACAAATAACAATGGAGAAACACTTCTTGATTGTGCAATTTCTATTAATAATGCAGAATTAATCGAATTTCTTCATTCACATAACTCAAAGAGTTAAATCTACAACAACAAAAAAAAAGGTATTGGGGCTTCCAGGCGCGTTGCGCCCTCTAGCCCCGAAGATGTTTAGTATAAAACCGCTTTTTAACTTCACTTAAAATGCCACGTAAGCTACGTAAGAATATACGTAAGAGGAAGAGAGCATTGAAACATCCAATAGTAAGACTAACACCACAACAACAGTTGCAACAACAAATGCTGAATGACCCCACTATGTTGCAACAAATGTCAAGCAATCCTATGCTTTTAAACCGAGTCATTGGTGCACAGAGTGGAGGTTTAAGAGCGGCACTTTTAGCGAAAATGGCAGGCTATGGTGGAGCTGCAGACGGAACAGCATATAACCCTCAAAGTCAAATGAATTTGAGTTCACTCAAAAATCAAATATCAGATGTCAAAAAGTCAAACATAGACATACAGAAGCAAATAAGTGAAAACGAAAAGAAACTAGAATATGACAGACACACAAAGAAACTCAATGAGTTAAACGTAGAGAAAAAGAAGAAAGAAGAACAACTGAAAGAACTAAGTACAGAGGAATATGCGAAAAAAGTGTCAGAAAAAGCAGCAGAAGTAGCAAAAATGGAACAAGATGTCATAAATTTGAAAAACCATACTACTCAATATAAAGTACTGAAAGATGAAGAGATAAAACAAAAAGCCCTGAAGACATATATGGATAGCGATGAGTATAAAAAAGAAGTTGAAGCAAATGTAAAGGCAGAAAAACTTTTACAGTTGCAAAACCAAACCGTACAGTATGAAAACTTAGCACAAGAAAGTAAAAATAACGACGCAGCCATGCAAAAGGCAATGAAAAGCGCAGAATATATAAAAGCTAACAATGACTGGTTAGATGCCCAAGCCAACGCTAAAGCAGCCCAGCTTATAGGGTCAATAAGGACAAAAATACAAGCGGATGAAGACAGTTCAAATGAAGCTTTAACAAATGCTGACTTTAAGAACGCCTTCGAAGATCTTCATAGTAAGGTGAAACAAGTGAACGACTTCTCATCTGGAAAGAAACTGAAGTCTGAAGGTTTCGACAAAGAGTTAAGAGAAGTAGCACAAAATATGACGAAAATAACAGATGCAGCAACGAGACAGGCAGTTCAAAGTGCCTATGACGCCGTTAGAGCAACTGTTGTGAAAAGTCAAGAAAAAGAGTTACAACAGACCAAAACAGACCTAGTAAATGCTTTCTTAAAAACGAAAAGTCAGGTAGGACATTACGCTGCAGATGGAACATATGTGCCAGCTGGTGGAACTTATATACCAGCTGGTGGAACTTATATACTAGCTAGTGGAACTTATATACCACCAAACCCTCCAAGAGAAGCACCTGCACCAGGACTACCTAACACATTTACATCGTCACATGGACACAGACACAGGCATGCACCAAAACCAACACAACAACAACAACAACCAGCACAGCAACCAACAGTTCAAAACCCTGCACAACAACCAACAGTTCAAAACCCTGCACAACAACCAACAGTTCAAAACCCTGCACAACAACCACCTCCACAACCAGAGCAAGGACATAAAAGAAGTAGAGAACAAGGAAACCAAGAATTCTTAAAAATGCTTAAAGAAGACTATGGTTACCCAGATAGTATTGACTTTAGTGACAGATATAAAGAAGCTATTAGAAAGTTCAAGGATGGAAATACTGACCCGAACCTATTTAGCTTTATGGTTCAGCACCAAATGGGATATAATTTCAAACCTGGAAAATACAAGCTCGCTAAGGGATATGATTTAATAGCATATCATCCAAATGACATGACTGAATTTACTCCGAGATATTTGATGTCAGAGCTAAATGACAATTCAACTCCCGTCATGAAACGCGTAAAAAATAGAGACGGAACGAAAGAAGAAAGGTTTATGAGTCCGGATGACTTAGAAAGGGAAGTTGTTAAAAACGGTCTCGGAATATATGAAATGCCAGCAGATGAGGTACAAGAAACTCCACAGGAAGAACTAGTTCAGATACAACCAGACATGGAAGAAATAGTTCAGCAACAACAGCTAGAAGAGCCTGAAGGAAACGAACAAGTCACTCCTTTGGAAACTAACTTCACAGAACTAGATGAAGATTTGGAACAGCCGAAAAATCTTGACCCTCAACAAGAGTATGCGGAGAATATGGAATATTTCCAAGAGTCTAAAAAAAATTCGGCTGACATAGTAGAAGAATATCGAAAAATGTTTGCCGACATACAAAAGACTCCAACACCAGATGAAAATATTCAGCATAGAATGGAAGCACTGAAAGAAAATGTACACAAATACAACAACCCTTTTTACTTACGAGCATTTAACGTTCAATCTTTGATGAACTCGGTGAAAATAAAAGGTTAAATTTCAAGAAAACATATAGAAATGAAACATTGTTTAAAGTTCATTCAGAACCTAGCCAAGATGGAAACAAACCTACTTTTGTTTCTGCAGACGATGGAACTACAATGAGATGGGGTCATAAAGCTAACTCGGATAGGTGGTTCATAAACTTACAACCACAATTCCAAGAAGTTGTAGACGCAATGGAAGTCAATGGTGAACCAGATATAGCTGGTATTTTAAGCGCGGCTTTAATGCCATTGAAAGATATGAAACATGCAGATATTTTGGACCAGTATGAAATGAACATGGCTGATGGAAATATAACACCTGACGTTCTAGAACATTTATCTCAAAGAACTACACAGAACCATAGAGATGGTATATTTGGTGAAGAGTTTAGAAAGAAAGTTAGGGAGGGAGAAGGAAGAGAACCTATTGTACATGACCTTGCAAACGAAAGTTTACAAAATGTCATAAAAACTTACTTTGCAGACAATGACCTGAGAAGGGATGAATATTTAAGAAAACTCAAATGGACAGTACCAAATGAAATGTTAGTATTGAAAAACATGTTCCTTGACAAAATAAAACCAACTACAGAAATAAACGACGCAAGACTGAAAGATTGGGTAAAAGCTTTCCCATTCACAAAAGATATAGTTGGTAACATGGAAAGAAAACCAGAATGGCTACAAAACATATATTTGGAAACGAGCTTATTCCATATGGACAGGCACTGTTTGAAGAGCTTGAACCGGAAACTCAGGACAGAGTCATGCAAACAATACGCGAAGACTCAAATACAAACTATGACAAACTCTTTCTAGGATATAGGTTACCTGAGATGGGCGACCAGAGCCCAAAGGCAAAAAGGACATGGGAAATTTACAACATACTAGGTGAACATGAGGCAAAGATGCAACAACTTGAAGCAGAGGGCAAGTTACCAAAAGCGACACCAAAGAAGAAGAGAAGAGTAGAACAAAGTGAAAGTAGTGAAGAAGTAACTTCATCTAGTGAAAGTAGTGGCAATGAAGGAAAAAGAAGAGTTAAAAACTCAGTCAGGAAGAAAGTAAAGCTTGGTCCACGTGGGTTCTATTATGACACATAAACCCAACTATTCTATATTTTTACCCATATGAAATGTACGCCGCTCAGAATATAACGCAACAGTTTTGGATGCCATGAATGGAAATGTTTCCGAATGGTATAACGAATGCGACAATGCCATTAGAAGGTCAGAAATAGTTCCTGGAACTTACGAATATACAACTGCTGTTTTCTTATGGAAACGTAGGTGAGTTTGGAGAAGGTTCTTCAACAACAGTAGATATTGCTTGCGACAGGTTCATATAATTTCTATTGACAACTCTTTCTTATACGTGGAACAAGACATTGAAATAAAACCTTCTGCCAAGTTGTCTGACAAGAAAGGTTGCAATGGAATTTTCTATGTCGGATACCAATATGCTCCAGAAGTTTTCATGGGATATAAGATATATTCTAACTCTGACTTAGTTCAAACAGTAACATGGGCAAACTATGAATGGTTCGCTTTGAGAAACTCAGTACAACCACAAGCTAGAGAACAAACAGACCAGTATGCAACTATTGAGAAAATAAGAAGACTTGACCCTAACGTTCCAGGAGTTTATGTTGACCTTTCTGGACAAACTGCAGCAGCAGTAACCAAAGTAAAATTGAAACTTAGAGTTCCTTTGTCATCTTTCCTCATCTTCAGGTTTTTTAAGATACTTGCCAAACTGGGCAGGAAAAATTTCTATCGAACTTACTCCAAGCAAAAATAACTTAGTCATTGCACCAACGCAAGACCCATTCACTCTTACTGTAGCTGGAACTGGTGGAGCCAAGTTCTGTGACTTTTGCAAAGACAAAGTTGACTTAGACTTTGGTTTCTCAAACCTCAACACTGAAGTAAACTATTATTTCAATGCTGCTGGAACTGCTTGGGACCCAGTTAAGTTCACATGCGAAAAGTTGAATGCAAGAGAATAGAAAGCAGACTTGCAGTCTATATGTTGGACCCAGATATTTCAAATGCTTTAGCTGCCAAATATATTGCAGTTCCACTTATGTTCCCTATACACCAAATATCTGTCAAAGACTTTGCAGGTGAAGTTGGAAACCAAAGTGCTGACCCAGGTGCAAGAACAGATATTGCCTTAACAACTGCAATGAAACATGCAGATACTATGTTTGTACTGTTCAGACGAACTATAAATGACTATTCTTGTTTCTACAACCCCGGTATTAAATATCATATAAACATAGATGGCAAATATTATCCAAGAGAAGAATATTCTACAGTTGAAGATATGAGGTCATACAACTTGACATTAGATGCTATGAACTTTAACAACAACTTCACAACAACCATTAACCCTGAAATGCAAAGTTCTATTATGCCATATGTGAAAGTATGGACTCATTCAGGAGGTCAAAAAACTCAATATACAAATGGAGACCGTTCAAACTTTTGGCTTGGCATTCCATTTGCTGACTCAGAAGACTTTATGGGTGGTATTTCAACTGTTGGTACAGTTCAAATACAATATACTGGTGACAGAGACGGTCTAAATGAATTGAAAGCAAAGAAGTTTACAAAACCAATAGCACTTTTCACGGAAGATGCTCTTTTGAAGATTCGTTCGATGAAACCTGCTGGGGCTCCTCAGATTGGTATAACGACAGCTTCCATCGAGCAGATTTTGGCAGCAGGTCAGTAAGTTGTTCTTGAACTGACTTCTCTCCGTCAAATATTGACAGTACGCCAGTTTTGACATAGTATTGTATTAAAAACTTTCCTTTAGAAATATCGGTCAGTTTTGTTGTTATATTTTTGTCAACGTCAAGAACTTTCACCATTTCAGTTATACCAACTTTCTTTGCTTTATGAAAATATTTTGGTTCAGCAAAGACTGCTATTCTATAACATTTTCCATTGTTTGTGTAAAGAACTACTCTGTCAATGAACTTGTATTGTTTGTGTGTGTAAACTTTGTTTTGCTTCAATTCGAAGAGATACTCAAATACGTCCATCTTTTTATTCTAAGTAAAATGTCATTTCCGAAAAATAGAAGCGTAAGTGTTTCAAAAGGTTTAATGGCGATGGCAGATGTGAAGTTAAATTCACCAACTCAAACAAACAGTCAAAGTGTTGTTTGTCAATGTCAAAGACAGAGATGTTGAAGTGGGGAAACCATACGAAGACGAAGATGGTATAACAATAGTTCCTGTAAAAGAACAACCAACATACCCTGAAGTTAGCAGAGACTTAAGTTCTGTTGCAGATATTCGAAACGACTACCAACAACTTAAAGACAAACTTAAAACTCAGGAGAAGATTTGTCAAGCTTTGGGTCTAATGTTAAACTTGGTCGAACACAACCCTGTAAAAGTGAACTCATATGTCATTGCACCTCATGAAATTTTGAAAGAACTATTGAAACTTTTGACAGAGGCAGACGATATAAACATCAAAGAAATAGAACCCGACATTGCTTGCTGTGGTGTTTCATATAATGTCATTGACAAGATATACGTTATGAAAGGAGGTGAAACGTTGAACTTAAAATATAGTTTCCCAGACGTTATAAAAATATTTGACGACCACAACATTTCATTAAAATTTAGTTGCTAAGTAAAAATGTCAAAACTTCTTGAAAGATGTTTGAAGAAAAATAATATAGACTTTATTTCATGTAAAGGACTTTACACACTTTTGAACGATATGAAAGACCCTGTTTTGTTTGTTCGTGTAGACAAAGGAAAGTTCTATGTCTTTACAAAATAT